CGTCGGGGCTCCCGCCGGCCGCCCTCGGGCTCCGAGACCCCAGCCTCACCTTGAAGCGCACCGGCATTTCTCCTGGCGCCGGAGTCTCCCGCCACTCCGACAGTTAACGGGACACAAAGCCCGGAGGGGGCGGGGCGACAACAGTCGGTTCCTTAGCAAGAGCCCCGGCCAGGCGTCCCCGACTACGCGCCGGCGCACTCCGCGCCTCTCGCCCCTGTCGCTCTGCTTTTCCCCGCCCATTTTGAAGCTTGAGGCCCAATAGAGACTCACATAGTATCTTGCCGTCATTACGATTTGGCCAATTAATGCTCGTGGCAACTCCTGAGGGCCGAAGGCTGACCAACGAATCTCCTGGAAGCAGGATGGGCGGGGCTCCGCGGGAGCTTCGTCCTGAAAAGGATCTATGGTTCCTGAATTGCAACTCTGAGCAAGGAGAAGTCTGCGTGCTGGTGGGGTTCGGATGTGTCCTGCCTCACAGGGCCCAGTTTTTGACATAAAAAAGCATGAAAGTGTTTTCTTCATCCCAAAAGGTATGGCAACATGAAATGTTTTTCTGAAAAGAAAATGTTCGGGTCTGTTTGGCTGAAAATCAGTCAGTGACGTGACACTGTTGTCAAATCAAAAGGGATAATGTCGAAAAATAGATACAACAACTTAGGAAGGAAGGTTAGGATAGATTTTATTGAAACGCAAAAGAAACATTTGTGTCTTCCCCAGAAATGTTTGTGTGCCTCCTCCACCCGCCTTGTCCCAATCAAGATACACAAACAGTGCTTAGATTAGAAATCATTTATTACAGGTGCCTGTGAGTCTCAACTTCCAAACCGTCACCCTTGCCCCCACCACCACCACCACCGTTTTTTAAAATATAATGACATTTGATTTTAATAGAATATAGTCCTCATCAACAACTATTCTTGGTAGGACACAGTGCTGTCTCACAAATGGGAAAGAAATTACCCAGACAGCCATCTGATATACTTGAAAAGGATGTGCATATATTTATCCAATAATAATACAGTGCAGGTCTGGGGTTTGGCTTAGTGGTGCCACCGCCTGCCTTGCAAGCGCAAGGTCCCGAGTTCGATCTCCGTATCCAATAATAATACAGTGCAGGTCTGGGGTTTGGCTTAGTGGTGCCACCGCCTGCCTTGCAAGGTCCCGAGTTCGATCTCCAGTACAGAAACAAAACAAAACAAAATAGTACAACGAATTGTTTGCTCGATTTCCAATTCAGAAGTGTAAATGAAAAGGGCTTCAGGAGTTTGGAACAGGGAGTCATCCCTGAGAGATGACCTGAAAAGGGTCAGGAGGAAATACTCAGACTCAGACTGAAGTCTAAAGGGGCTGCAAAATATAAAGAGGGAATAGGATGATCAGATGGTAGATGCTTGGTTGGAACACTGCCAGGTGTCTTCCAGGAACAAGGACTATGGTTCCTTCAATGTTTGTCATTTGTTCACTGATAAAAGTAAATGTTCAAATATTAAACCAGCCCTTGATGTCCCCCTTTAAGTGTTTTCTGCAAAGGCTTGTCTTCCTGATTCCTTTCTTCATCATCACTAAAATACTTAAAAATTCATTTGAAGAAGACACCTGACATGTGAAACAAAGAGAATATTAAATTAGTCCCTATACAGTCATGAGGCCAGGGAGCCTTTGATTATTGTTAATTAGTGATGACAGCATCTCTGTTGTGTAAATTAAGACTGACAAACAAGACACAGGGGAGCATGAAACAAAAATCCTCAGCAGGAAGGCAGCCCAAATCTTACAGGGTAAGAAAAACATTGCTCTGGTTATACACACGGCTTCATTTACCATGTAATGCTAAGGTGAAAATCAGCAAAAATAAGCATATAGAATGTAGCCTGTCTGCTAAACAAAGATAATGATAAGCACAGTAGAGCTCTGCTGAGCTGGGAATGAATGACAGGAAAACCAAACGGCAGGGGATAAATATAATGTCACAGCCTCGATTTGCTAGAGATGTGTTATAAGGATCAAGAAGGAAGAGTATTTTACTTTTTTATTGGTAAGCCATACCTCCCCCTAACTTAAGAGACAATGATACGGAATGAATGGGTTGTGTAGCCTGTGTTTCACCAGTTCCTTTCTTCTCTGCTACTACATAAATAGACCCAGTATATTTCAAAGTTCCACCCAAGAGTTTCTCAGGAGTCCCTAGGAGATGTCTCACATGTGCTACGTGTGTGTCCAGCAGCATGTAACATGCAATGTGCCCAGCAGCACTGCCACTTGTTTCAGTGGCCACACATCTGTAGGTGTCACTGTTGCTTCTGGCCATCAAAGCCACATTAGCTCAGTACTACTAGCTATGCCTCACACTGTCCACCTGTAGGGTAGGAAATCCATAACAAAGTACCTGTCTCCCCTTTTATGTGGTCCTCTTTTAAGTGTACCAAAGCACCCTAGAGCTTTTTTCCATTTGTGTTTTAGCCTTTCTTATCTCCAAACAGCTCAAAGTAAAGTATATGGAGCCTAGGCCAATAGTGATTTCTCAAATGACAGATTTTATTGCTATGCTTCTCTCTTCTACTAGAAGGCCTTCTTCCTGGGACTGGATCCCTCTTCCTTTTGTTGATTTCTCAGATTGCTGTCTCTTGCCTGTAGGAGAGACTAAATTAAATTAGCACAACCAACCTCAAGGGTAGTTTGGCAATCTTTTTGACCCAGTAATTCTTCTTCTATACATTTATCTACAGATATATATATATATTATTTGTCAAAAGATACTTGTTTAAGATTATTTAATGCACTGTTTTAGTTACATAAGGTAGAAATAACCTAACTGTCCAACTAGAGGGGACTAGTTAAATAAATTATGGTTCATTTAAGGCCCAGGGCATGAACAGGATGTGCAGCAGATCCCAAGGACAGTGTAGGCTGCTCTGCCACTCAGGGTCTTCTGACCAGCAGCCCCAGATGGGGTCCCCTTAAAGTTTGGGTCCATCCAGGCAAACAGAAACTACTTAGACACTCCACAAAGAGAACTTACAAGCTATTCGTACCACAGAACTTTTAAAAGCTGAAAAGAAAAAAAGGGGGTGGTAACTCCAGGAAGCAACTCACATCCGAAACTGAGAGAACAAAGGGGAAACACTGAGGTTACTAGACGGCAGGCTGGTGGGAGAGGCCTTGCGGAATTGGTTGGACCTCTGAGAAAGATCACTGCACAGCTGGAGTTAGGGCCTGTGAGTGAACAAAATGAGGCTGCCTCCTGAAGGCCAAAAATAGTTAAAAGGAAAAGGAAAGCTGAAGGCCAGAAGCAGCTATGGAGTAAGAGGTCACTGTTCAGGTTCTACTGAGAAGAACAAGAGTGAAAGGACATTGCAGTCCATCTCTTAACAAACCTGACAAGGAGCTGGCCTTGTGGTTTGCCATCTGAAGGCTGGACACAGGAACCAACAGAAAATAACTTGTTCACTTGCACCTATACAACCCTAGAAGAGAAAGAGGACTTTATGAGCTGATTAAGACACAAAGGCAAAAGCAAGGCTAGGGGATGTATACAGGAGACAATCAGTTGGAATAAAAGACTGAATGAAGAAAAGAGAAAATTTGTCATATGACCAATCTAACGGCTACTTTCATCTTTTCCATAAGTACTGACCAATTTTTCCTCATATAAATGAATTTCTTGGAGCCACGCCCTCTCCCACCTGGAGCCGCCATCATTCCAGCATCAGGAAGGTAGCTGCATGGGCGCCCCTGAACCCCCATAACTCCCCTTACCTCCCCCACACCCCCCACCCCCACACACACTCCCAGACCTCCTGATTGTGCCAGTCTTTGGACCCATTCTGCAGAGGCAGAGGTGGTCATAAAGGGTATTTTTCTGAGTTCCCAACTTTGAATATCTTTAAAGAAAGGGTGTGGGAAATCGGTAGTAGAATGGTGTGGAGTTCAACCATTCAGAAGGTTGGGGAACTCATTCTGGGCCTTGCAGCCGAGGTCAGTCTGCATCATGGGGTTCAGCCATCAGCTAACTGAGATCAGGGGTATTGCGTCTTAGCTCTATCTGAGCCCTTAAATGCTAAATATACTATATTGAAAAGTTTGTTCACTGCAGACATGTTCTGGACTGCTTCTAGATTTTGATTAAATTCAAATGGTTTAAGGGTGATAGACTAGTGACTACCACTGGTGGTCAGTTTCCAAGTTGTGCTTGATCTTAATGTGTTGCTGATTGTATCAGTTGGGATAAAGGATTGTGGTTGATTTGATGAGCAGTTTTCTGTGATGTTATGAAGATGAGAATGTCTGTGGGTCGTTAGAGACCCAGAAGCTGGGGCACAACTATATCAGGAAGATTTGGGTGATAACCCACAGATTAAACCAAGGACAGCCCAACAACAAAAATAAAAATGAGAAAACACTTAAGCAAGACACAAAGACAGACTTCCAGTTCACCAATGGCAAACAGTAGGGCAAATGAGGATGAAAAGGTTGATAGTGAACCACCAGGACACCCTGAACTCAAAGCACAGGAAGTAACAAAACAGATCAATCAGGCTCTAGAAAAATTCAAAACAGAAATAATTTCCCAGCTAACCATAGAGATAGTGAGCAAAATGGAAGTCGTGACTCGAGACTCTAGAGCAGAAAACGACAAAAACATAGATGAGCTCAGGACCACGATAGAAGCCATGAAGGCCCAGCATAAGAAAGAAATGGAAAAAATAAACGCCCAACATAGGAAAGAAATGGAATCCATAAAACAGATTCAAACAGATATCCAGGAGATTAAACACTCCATTGAAAGTGTACACAACAGACTAAAAGAATGCGAAGATAGACTCTCAGATATAGAAGATAAGATTGCTGTCAGTGACCATGAAAAGAGAGGTCTCTTAAAAACAATAAGGGATCATGAGAAATCAATCCAACAACTCCTAGATGGTGCAAAGAAGAATAACATAAGACTGATAGGAATCCCTGAAGTAGCAGGAGAAAATACAAATGACTTTAAAAAGTTGTTCGCAGAATTAATGACAGAAAACTTCCCAGAGGGGAAAAATTTGACATTCAGATAACTAAGGCATATAGGACCCCAACTAGCAAAAAAATATACACGTAGACATATAATAATCAAGACACCAGAAACCCAACAGAAGAACAAAATACTACAAGCAGTAAGAGAAAAGAAACAAATCACATGCAAAGGAAAGCCCATCAGAATCACAACAGACTTTTCAACACAAACCCTTGGGGCAAGGAGAGCCTGGAATGAGATATTTCAAGTACTAAAAGAGAACAACCTCCAACCTAGACTGATGTATCCAGCAAAACTCTCTTTCAAAATGGAGGGGGAAATAAGACACTTCCACAACAAAGAACACCTGAGAAACTACATGAATACCAAAGCAGCACTGCAAGCAATTCTAAACAAGATCCTAGAAAAAGACAATGAAGGCAACAACACCATGAGGCCCAACAGAGCAAATCAAATAGGCAAGGCAAGAAACTAAAAGGATAAGGTGAAAAAGTAAAAAGAGTCAACAAAAGGCCAATAACATGTCAATAATAAGTCAGTACATATCAGTTATAACCATCAATGTCAATGCCCTCAACCCACCAATCAAGAGAAATAGACTGGCAAAATGGAATAAGAAGCAAAATCCAACAATATGTTGTATACAAGAAACACACCTAGTGCAAAAAGAAGCCCATAGACTGAAAGTGAAAGGATGGAAAATAATTCTCCATGTGACAGGAGCACAGAAAAAAGCAGGGGTAGCAATCTTATTTGCAGACAAAGAAAAGTTCAAACCAAAACTGATCTAGTAATATAGATGTAGGAAAGTACTGTATCATACCTCTGTGAATGTAAAATATCTTGTACCTGCTTTATGATACATAGTAGGGACCGTGCTTTATCAGAGCTGTATTTAATGATATTTCTCTAGAATGTTCTCTTTCCAGATGATGATTAAGATGCTAATAAATAAAATGGTGCCAGGTACCACATAAGCAACAGAACTTTGCTGTTTTCTGGATATTATTCTTTTCTTTGTTTTTTTGTTTTTGTTTTTTTTAATGCAATGTGCTGAATGTCTATAATTTTGTTCAGATGACTGCAGAACCTGGAAAAACTGTTGCTGCTATTGATGCATAACATACTGCTATTATTGGTCTTTTTATATAAATATGAATATACATATATATAATTTGAATTTTTGGAAACTTTAACAGTGCTGTCAACTTTGGAAAAATTTATACCAATTTATTGTGTTGAGTTGGCATTGTACAGAAATGGACAGCCATATTGGTCTAGAAATGTTAATTTTTTTAATTTTTATTTTTTTTCCATTTGTACAGGGGTAATGCACTGTATTAAATATGTAAGGTCATATCTACATGGGTTTGATTACAGAAATTAATAAATGATTCTCTAAATAATGAAAAAAAGAATAAGATAAGACTATAAGAGCAAGAAACAATTTAAATATGTTAAGGGACCATTTTCATCTTCAGAATTAAGGATTATTTTAATCTTACATTATTGCCTTTTCTCTTTTACTTTCCTTTTTAGTTTTATTTTAGGATTCCCTATTTTTAATGTTCATACAGAGATTTCTTTAACTGAAATACCAAACAGCTCCTTTCGTGTGAAAAACTATAATAGTACACAGGATCCTAATGAGATAATTAATAATGTGAAATAGGAAGTAAAGGGCTAAAGGTGTAGGGAAAATGGGTAGGGTGGGGGAAAGGTAATAAGGGAGAGAAAAAATATAAGAAATTGAAAAAATGGAAATAAAGTGCTTGTAAATGGGGAGGGGAGGAGAGAGTGAAGGGAGGGCAGGGACAAGGGGGAAAAAATGAGAATCAAGACCTATTATTTAAAGGTACAGGATCCCAATAATGAATGTAACTGTATTGTATACCTAGATTGTACCAATAAACTCAATAAAAATAAAATAAATAAATAAATAAATTTCTTATTGTGTAACAAAAAAATGACAATTAAATCATTGTATTCTGTCTCAGAAGGAAAATTAGTGATACTTCACCCTAATGTCAGTAAGAATCAAATAAATAAGGTCTGGGATTAAGACTTACCAATGATCCAAGTGTAATTTGTCCTCCATGCTTTCAGTCAGAGGATAGCTTTTTGACAAGGGGGTGTCTCTGGCTTTTGAATTAGTGGGGCACCTTTGGAAAAGCGTTGGAGGAACCAGGTTCTCATGACAACAAGGGCTTTTTTCTTTTGGTGAGCCAGAGGGACTCCATTCCATACAAGGCCATGCTGAGTAAAGTAATTCTTAGTGAGGCATAAACCACTGCAAGCCTTACATACCATAATAATGCTGCTGAGCCTTGGCTGAATAAGACATAAGGAACAAAATTTGGAGGCACAAAATTCCTTTCATTTTAACACCTTCACTGTTGATGATTCTGCTATCTAAGAATTGCCTTCACTTTTCTTTGCTGAGTATTCATTGTGTTAAATCACTATCTTTATAAAGCATCCACATGAACATGGATTTTTCTAGAATTGCTAAGTGCAGGTTTAGAACCATTCATTCTCTTGACCACATAAAACCAGATGCCATATCTTAACGCCAGATCAGAGGGCAATAGCCAACAGCCTTTCTAAGAACTTTGTAAATCTCTACCCTTACACCAAAATAAATTTTGAAATATTTCTTTGCCACATAGTTAATGTATGTGCACCTTGAGACTTGCAGATCAAAACAGGATAATGGTTATTATTCCTACAGAAATCATTGTTATTTCTGTCAGTAACACTTTGTCAAAGATAAATGAGGACTCAAGAATTTTTCAGAACATAAAGTTAGTTTCTTCTCCTTTGTGCTTTTAATTGTTGGCTACCATAAAAGATCTTAAATGAATTTTTGTTAGAGCAATAAGCTCATGGAATCTTGGTATTATGTTGTTTACCTCCCAGTCTCTGAACTTCTAATAATTGAATTAATGATGTTTGACAGTGTAGAGTTATGTATCCAATTGTAAAATACTGCACATATTCAATTTAAGAGATTGTTTCCATATTGTAAAGCACCATCAGTAGAATAGGTTTTAGGAATCATGTTCACTTTAGCTAATCGTAGCTGTGGCAAACACTGAGGCTGACTCAGTGCAAATCCATTCCAATACCCTTCTAATCCTGCAGAAACTGAAAAGCTAAAATATCCCTTTGACATTAAAGCCCTATAAAGCAAAAATGCAGGTAAAACTTACATTCTCCTGTTCAGAAGCACTTGCATGGAGTAAGATATGGAGAAGAGCAGAGCACAAGTGTCTATTGTGGTGACATAAGTTACGGCAGTAGCAGCAACAGTGCGTTCTGGAGTTGGCAGTGGTATCAGTAGCTTCCTGATCATGGTAGAGGTGGAGTCAGGGCTTGTAGCATCGGCCTCTCAATTATCAGGCAGCTTCTTGATTCTACAACTTCCTGACTGTAGGTTCCTTTCATGAGTCTGTTCTATGATGTGGCCCCGGAACAATGGTGGTGAACTTACGGCATGCATGCCACAGTGGGCACACAGAGCCCTCTCTGATAGCATGTAAGCCAAGTAGCCCCAGCCAGGGTCTGGACAAATTGTTGGGATACATATAACAGCAAAGATCATGTTAATTGTGAAAAAGCGTGCCAAATGCAAACTTTTACTTTTCAGTAAAAACCTGTATCACTGAAAGCGCTGTTATTGTGTTTTTCTTTTAAGACAAAAGATGTTAATGTATGAGTTGTTTTTTTCTAAACTAAAACCTCAGTATTCTGGTTTAATTAAGGTGTTAATGTTTTGCAATAAATACATGGATTTGAGGTTGCAGTTTGGGCACTTGGTATCTAAAAGGTTCACTGTCACTGCCCTAGAGCTTCTCCAGCCCTCTTAATGATTCTTAAAGGCAGTTGTATCAGTCATCTGGTGCCATAATAATGCTGAATAACAAACACTCCCAAATGAAGTACTTTAAAACAATAACCATATTATTGTTCATGATCTGTGAGTCAGCTGGCCACTTTTGCTAATCTAGGTTGAGTATGGCTGAATTCGCGAAGCTTTCTCATGCATTTGTGATCAGCCTATGAGTTAACTAAGAGGCTTGCTGATCTCAGATGGCTGCAGTGGGGACACCTCATCACCATTCCATATGGGCTTTCATCTTCCAGTAGGTGGCCTGGATTGTTCTCATAGCAAAGGAGGGATTCTAAGAACTTGTATGCAAGGCCTCTAGAGGATTTGGCTTTGAATTGCAAATCATCATTTCTACTGTATTTTCTTGGCCAAAGTGAATCAGAAAGCTAGCCCAGATTCAAGGGCTAGATAAAAAGGACTCAATGCCTTGATAAAGACTTGCACAGTCACATTGTAAAAAAAAAAAAAAAAGAGTGGAAAACTGTTAGGCTATGAATACAGTAATTACTTTACCACTAAGTACCCTAAAAATATCCCTTCTGTTTTGAATGGCTAGGATAAATTATATCCTCTGCAATTTAAGTCTAGTCAATACAATGTCAGGTCAGATACATGCATTTGTCTCTATTCCCTCTTTAAACTTAATAAAATGACTGTAAGTTAATAAAACAGGCATAAACTGGTGAGGTCAAAGAGAACAGCAGACAACTGCAAAATACAGATATCACCAAATACTGGGGATAGGGAGAACAGAGTCTGTTATTGACTGGGTGCTTTCAGAAGTGGTCTCTGAGATGTATCATGTGTTGAATGCATATTAGTAAAAGACTTTGGGATGGATACTGTAGAAGGGAAGGCAATGCAGTAGAATGGGGTAGAAGGAGAAGCCAGGCTATACGACAGGCTATCCTCAGCTAGCCGTATGCAGAGTCTTGAACTAACATAGCCGGTTGGAGTTGTCATATCTTGGGCCAGAATGCACCCCCTTCAGAAGGCTATGGCCTTGGATAAGGTTGTTCTTTGCAATAGAGGAAATCCCATAGCAGAGTGCCTTCAGGTAATAGTGCAGCACATCCTTCCCTGCTGTGGGACACAGACAGGACATCACTGAAAGTATGTTCCTATTAGGTGGTCAGTGTTCTCAACAGACAGCACATATTTGAAGCTCCAGATGGAACAAAACAAAGATGAAACAAAACCAAAGCACACCTCTGTTCTTTGGAGCTAGGCTCAATGCAGCTGTTAGATTCTTAGTCCCCAAACCTTCTGGAGTGAAAGAGGGTATCTATCAGTCTGCACTGGTTCCTTTTACCATAGTTTGACAATGGTATCAAATATTTCCTTGTCCTCTCTAGGTTCTGCCTTAGGAAATACCTGACTCCCAGCACCACTAGTATCCTAGAAATAATCCCCCCCTTTTTTTTACTGAATTATTAAATGTCTAGAAAATTAGTAAAGCACAGTTCTGGGTGTTTGTGGGGTATTTCCAGAGATCACTGGCATGTTGACCAGAAAACTAAGCGGGGACTACCTGCTCTAGTTGTGGGATAGCACCATCAATAGGCTTGGAGCCTGGGTGGATTAAAAGGGAAAGAAGGAGATTTGCATGCCTTTTCAAGAGCCCCATTCTGCTTCAGTGGGTATTTTTTTGCCACCTTCACCTGTAAACATCAGACTCCAGTTCCTTCAGCCTTTCCACACAGTCTCATACCAGCAACTCTCCAGAAACCCTCTGAGCCTTTGGTCTTAGGCTGATGCTATATTCATGAATCCTCTTGTTCTGTAACTTGCAGCGTCTTGGATTGAGCAGCACTCCAGCTCTCTAGCACACAGACAGCGATTGTGGACTCTCCCTCCTCTGATCCTCTACCTAATAAAGCCTCTAGTCAATACACCAATCCGTAGTTCTGGTTCAAAACTGAACCCTTCCTTCTCCGTCCTCTAGATTAGGGCAACGTAGCTATGTTCAGCTACTGGACCTGGAGCAGATCATCCACAACCTGTTCTTCTGGAGCTGATAGTGATGTTGATGTAATTTAAACCACTAAGGAAACTTCATCCATGTTCTAGCAGAACGTTCTACTAATGACTTGCATAGACAAAAGCAGGATAAAAATTGGAGGTAAAGAGAAGAGCTTCATCTCTGGAGGAGACAAAGAAGAAAAAGGAACCGAGTGTGAGGACTTGGCATATGACTCATCTTTTTACCTATAAGGATAAAAAACACAGCATGAAGGAAAATTGCTCACATTGGCTAACCAGGAGGAAAAGTAATACGGGATCCCTAAAATTAATTCCAGTTGCAGCCACTTATAAATTGGTTACTTTCACTTATGTCTAATTACCATGCAGCACAATAACAATTGTACATGTCATAAATGACATGTTCATCAGTCAGAAAGCTAAAGTCTGCAACTACACAGACAATATGCAAATGTGAATTGATGATTGCTATAAAATGTGAGCAGATCTTATTATTTTTAGAATAAGAATGTCCTCTTTTGTCTTTGCTGTTGCTAAACGCTGGAATGAACATAGTTTAACATTGACCTACTAGTCTTACCATTTATTTAAACAACACCTTTTTTGATTATTATTATTATTATCGGCTAATATTTGTGGAGTATTTGCTATGTGTCTTTAGACTGCACATGTTGTATCAGAATGGTTTGGCTCAGAAAACAGGAATAGAAGCTTCATATAGAATTAAGAGTTTATATGGATATGAGAAAAGCTAAGGGAGTGAAAGTCTAGAAGGTGAGAATGGCAAACTGGAAAACAACATCATCATCGTGGCTTCAGCCTGAAGCCAGAAGTGTGGGTGGAATCTGAAAATCCTGCCATAGCCACACAATGAGGAGCCCCACATTTGGCTGGTGAGGCCCTGTCTAATGAACCGCAGCAACCATTATTTCAAAAACAATAGTCTCCCTTCACTTGTATCTCCCAAGTCTTGTACAAGTCACAAACTTAAACTTTTATTCACACATAGAACCACATAGGAAGGGAATTCTAGAAAAGTAGTTCCCAGACGTCAACAGGCATGATACTTGTGGTACAGAGTTATCAACAAGATATCCAGAACACAGAGCCAACTCTAATATTGAGAAGGTGGGTGTTCCTGTTCATATTTTTAGCAGATAAAATTCTGAGGTATTAAATAACTTGCTTGAGGTCATGTGCTAGTAGCTGGCAGAGCTAAAACTAAAAGCCAAGCTATCTGATGCCCTGGATCATACTTTTACCGCTCTTCTCTACTAGCGCTTCAAAATCTATATAAATACCAATTGCCTATCTTGGTATTTCTTTTCATATCATGCCCCTGCCTCTCTTAGCACCAGCAGCGTATGTTTTGTCTCTTCTAGAACGCAGTGAGTAAGAGATAGCAGCCTCACAGCTAACGCAATGTGTCAGGGAAGCATGCTACCTTTGGGGCCAAGGAGCAACATTTCTGCTGCCATCAGTAACAAGTGAACTGTTAGGCAGCTTCCAGACCTGCATTATCAGAAAGCCCTTTTTTTCCCTGTGATTGGAGAAATATTTGTGTCTACAGTTCTCCATTCTCTAGTCTTTCCCAGGGTCTTCGTCCTGCACAGAACCTCCTTTTGGAGAAAGGGAAGTGCATGCTTTCCATTCCTCAAATTGAAGTGAAGTGCTGCAAGGGAACTACTTGGAGATCTGGATCCATGCTTCCTGGATCTTGTGAGACAGAACAGCTATCTTCTAGTTCCTGCTTAGGGAACTGCAGTGGGGAAAGATCGCAGCCCTAGTAGCTGGTTTAATGGCAGGGTGAGAAGAGACAGGTTTGTTAAGAACATATGTTTCTTTGTGAGCCAAGCTGGACAGTAAGAGGAAGCCAGCTGGAAGTCACATTTGATCCTACCTGAGAGTATTGCCTGGTAGGAAAATATGACCCAGTGCGGGACTGCCAGAAATCAGGTACTGACCATGGGATTAGGGAGGCCCCTGAGGTATAGCCTCGCCCACACCAAGGGCACTGTACTTGGGTCCTCAGTGGGTAAGCTTCCAAGACATCCCTCTAGGGAAAGACCCAGCAGCTGTGCACCTGCCACCTCAGAGGAAATCATCAGATTACAAACTGCACTAGCACAAAAGGCCTTTTCTCATTAACTCCTCCTGAGCCTGGCTGGGGAAATACAAGGAGAGGAAAAGCAGAGAGGAGTCAGGGAATAAGGGAAGGCAAAGGAGTGGGCCAGTCTAGTACGCATCTCTCCCACAAGTGTCCAAGCTCTCTTCAGGCACCAAGTGAGGAGGCGAAGTATGGGTGGAAGAAAGGGGAAAAGGAAGTGGATCAGAGTTTCATACTACCTAGGAACTATTAAAAGTCACTTCAAAAAGAGGCTGTTCTTAACACTAAAATGAAAATGGAATTT